CAACATTTTTGGCAATAGTCTAACTATTAATCTACTGTAAACTTACTACGAGTCGAAGTGGAGAATCGGTAGGAGCGATGACTGGATTCCAAATTTACCCAACTACCAGTCAACTATCACAAGATGTAGTTATGTTTCAGGCACTAACAGACAGTCCTCAGGTCGATTCTGAGCAACGCATTCGAGCACACAACTCTTTCATTCAAAAATTCTATTCGTGATCGGAGTTGATCGGATGTACAACTGTACCCTGATGATGATGTTACTGCACCAGCAAGTAAGGTCTGTAATCCTTGAACCAAAAAGTCGTGTGTCAAAAAGATTTGGTATAGAACAATTATTCTCAAAGGAAAGCAATCGATAATCCTTTTCGCAACGTTCCTTATGAATGTTAGGTTTAACTGTCTCGGCGTTTTATCATTTGCAACATTAAAGAATGAAACTAACTTTCGACCAGAAATTGCTATCAAGTTACTTAATATAAACATAAAATGCACAATATTAACTTAACGTACTCACTTATCACTTCATATATTATATTTCACATAGATAATTGTATATAAAATTGTTTTAATGATGAAACAAAAAACGCGCAATAAAAGACGAGCAGCAGATCAAACATTTGGGTTGAAACGAAACGAAAGGCGTGAATTCCCTATTATTAACTGCTACTTTCTCAGATGCAAGATATTCACTCAACTGTGCTTCGGTGCAACCAGCCAAAAAAGCGGTGTAGCAGTTCGAATCATGTAGAGCATGGTGCTTCGGCACGGACATGACAGAGAGTAAGAGATACTCGTTCATATTTTCTTATGTATTTGCTACAATTCGCCTAGATCCACTTCATAGTTGACTGGAAATCAGCACAAGATGTAAACGAAAATTTTGCAACAACCTTTCACACATGCAAACAAAACAACACCATTTAGACAAAATAAAGAATTTTGAAAGCTTAAATATACCATAATCAAAACAGCGCTTTTTGCATTAAGCACAATCCAGCATCGTTTGAAGCAAAATATGAGCAGTCGTGCTCCCGGTATGAACTTATCACATGATCGGCAGGTACTTTTATATTACAGTTCGTTAAAATGTAATATTGGAGTAGCAGTCATGTCAGCGAAGAATACGATTAATAGTGCAAGGGACAAAACTATTTTTCATAACAGCAAACCGATTAACTGTGTAAAACCTCTTTACGCTTTGTGTTTAGATTCAGGCGAAGGAATCAATGCAGCAGGAATCACAGATTATCAGTTTGGATTTAAAAGAATCCGTTTCAGTGCATATTAGGATTGAAGAATTACAATTCTAGACAATGATACGCTTAGCTATGCATGTAAGCTCACTGAT